AAGCCTTCAAAGATGAGAATACAGCTGCAATCGGTACATTTTTCCATAATATAAATACTAAATATCCATTGTAAATAATAATAATAATAATTCTGTAAAATKCATACTAATGTATACTTAATATGTATATTATATTAAGAATATATTATATTATTTTTCTTGTTTAACATTTGATTATAGTACCTAGGCTAAAAACATGTGTTGTTRAAGCCTTAATAAACTATAAAAAAAAAATAACTAAAGCACGCTTGCTTTAAAGATAAGKCATATTGTTTTAATTTTAAATCACACAGATCATACCAATGTAGGAATAAAATCATTTGTTTCTCCAATTATTGTATATTTTTTAGAATTTAATTTATAATATTTTAGTTAAAATTTCGTTAAAAAAGAATATCATTAATATTTTAAGCCTTAAAGCATAAAAATTTTCTCCTTTGTAATAAAATAAACACAAGGATATGAATCAAAACTATACTATTAACGAATACCTAAATTATATTTTTATATAATTATGAAGGATATTAGGTAGAATTTATTTTTCTCATACAAAAATGTGCCTATTTTGCCTATACAATGAGCCGTGTTATTGAAAAAAAATAAGTTGTATAGAAAGTCACTCCGTCGACCTCGATAGTTGTGTACTATTTATTATACCTATCATAAAAATGACAAGAAAAATGTTTATGACAGTGATGGTTTTAAATTTTAAATTGAAATAATTGCATTTATTGATATTTCATTTGACTATAACACTCATTAAAAATAGATCTAGCTAATCGCTATTGCAATATTTTACAAATGAAATAATGTTGTAATCGATAACATATATAACTAACTAATATAATTTTAAAAAAATCAAAATTTAAACTTATCCAGTTCGATACATTTTTACACAGTTGTAATTTAAAACAGATGTTTATTAAAACTGCACAGTAAATTTGTTTTTTGACACAAACACGACTTTTKCTTATAATCGCCTAACTGAAACTCGCATTACGCTTTTTTTACTTATGTATATTACTAGTTGCATTAGTAGCACTTGAATGGTTATATTATATGTAACAGTAAACAAAATTGATTTATGAGTTTCTTGTAACTCAAAAAACAGTTCCATAATCTAAAGTCTTTCCTAACGATGAATAGCCTTATGCAGGAGTATATKTTATTTAAAAAACRTATTCCATTAAAAAGGATTTTGCTCATTAATCAATTCGTTCCTTACACGATTTAAATGAGTATAGATTTGATATGAGAGTACGTCTTAAGTGATGTTATGAAACTTTTTTGAAAACACTAAACTGAATATACTTTATATATATAAAACCATTTAGCCATCGAAGGTTTATAAATTATAAACATTATAATAATATCATATCAAGTATTTTTTAAACACTACATAATGCTACAATAATATATTATATTTCAGAAACACCGGTGGTGCTGGAAGAGAGGGAGGAGAATACGGGTATTCGAGAATGCAGAAGCAACAAATCGAATTCACGTCACCCGCTTGGCTGCACTCAAGCGGATGGGATCGTTCGTTGCACACGGTGTTAATTGTACACGGATACGGAGGTGCGGGGCAAGACTACTTGCCCGGGGCTGTGCTTAGAGACGGTTAGTGTGCCTACTGATAACTTCGTTAATACATTAATCGCACCATTATCGGCGTGGTTTTTAAGATGCATATCGAAATGAGTGCCTAGATCAGCGATTATAAACCCGGGAGCTGCTTGAAGTCGGTTTATGGTTGTCATCCAAAATTTATCCAAAATCAGCACAGTCATAGTGATTGAAAATAAAAACTACTTGACTAATGTTTAAAGCTTTAGTTATGATAAAAATATTATTTAAAGTAGTTTAATAAAACAACTACTTTTCTCCATCGGTACACGTGCACGCAAATCTACTGAGTTTAAAAATAGTTTTAACCATTAATTAAAATAGTCTAAAATAAAAAAATGTCTTCTCTTGACCTATTAAAAACTCAACTAGGTCTTCCATTTTATACCAGAAATATYCCTTATAGTCGATGATGAGCGGATCATTTTGAATACTAGAGAGTGTTTTTGTACACAAATATAAAAATAACAAAAAACCTAATTCTTTGTAGAATCAACCTTGCCCGCACAGAATCTATAACATAATTATTTTAAACTACAAAATCTACAGGAAATCACTATTGCAATGAGTCAAACAGATTTTCCTGTACAGTTCCACATTATCATCATCAGTAATATTTTTAAGGACGGGTCACGCGTTTTATGATGGTTTATTAGCTAATAATTCAATTCATTCGTCACTCTCGAGTTTCGACTTTTGAGATTACTTTTGGGAATTTGTTTAACAACGACTAATATTCGAATGGGAGCCATTTCGTGGTGTAGAGAGCGGTGAGCACGCTTCAGCGTCTACACGGCGAACGCCTACGCGTTTGACGTAATTATTTTTACTCGAGTGCAGTGTGTTGGCTTTCATCAGAATGCTCGTATTTTCTTTCTTTCAATAGCACSCTTTATTTATCTGGTCGTTGAAAATGAGCAATTCCGTGAATTAATTTGCTGATCTCTCGATGTTAATTGTCTGGCTTTTGTACAAGTGCATCACTACGACCACAGTGCGATTTAAATGTTTTAACGAATGAAAAACTGAGTATTGAGAAGATACTAGATTATAAACTACCTAAATAATAAGTTTTTGATTTGAAATGTATAAATTTGGATACTTTAAAACGGATGATAATGTTCCAAACCTTGTGAGAAACCTATTAAACAAATCGTATATCAAATATTACCCTGTATATTGTGTGCGAAATCGGATAGAATACAGCTCATTAATTTACATAAAGTATTATGTATGATGTACAAAACAGGTTTTACCATATTTTCTTTTTGGTATTCTGTATTCAACGAAAGACGCGTAAATAATAACAAATAGTGTGAATAGAAAAGTTACACRCGATGGTAGTAAACAATCATAATATTATACTCTGGGTTATATTCGTATTTAATATTTACCTTTACAGGCAAACAACCGTAAGCTATTACTTGCTTCCCTACCCTGCTGTTTGGTTACTATAAGCATGGCGTGTACCTATGTATATCACAATAATATTATATTATATGCGGATAGCATCTGAATTGTATTTTCATGCTTTCACTGCAGGTTGGTGGAAAATTATATTTCTGAACACAAATAAAGTAGGTAATCGATCAAACTAGCTCTCAAACGATTTATGAGATTTTGAAGTTAAATACATTGATTTATAGAAATGATTATGATGTTTTTACCACGATGGTCTTTTATTGACCGATTGAGACAATTTTTGTATTAGATAATCTAAAATATGGATCTAGATGGAAATGCTACCTAAAATTTCAAAAAAAATTAAAACAATAGATTTTATAGTGCTTATCAAAATGCACGATGGCTTTTTCATCCACTCGTTCACTCCACAAAAAAAAACTTGATGATACTTCTAAACGATAAAATAGAGAGGTTAGGTAACTCTAGTAGTGTATACCGTATAKCTGGTTGGAGTAAGCGATGTAACGGACGTAAGGTGAAATATACGATGGTTGAGATGTACTCTGAGTATGCAAGCGGACTACTTTGCAGCAAGGTGCACTATAACTGAAAYGATGAATCCTCGGCTTAAACACGAGTGCTTGTGTGTCCAAACAAGTGTATGAAACAAAAATATTGTGTTGTTATGTTATCATTATTGTGTTTGCCGTGTTCGAAGCTGATGACGTGCGTGCGAGATGATAAAATAGACGGATTTAAAACGTTTTAAGCAAACTCGGCGATAATGATATTATGCGCATACGTACTCAACCGGTACGAAAAAAAACCCTACCTAGCGATGCAATAATATAAATTATAATGTATACAACTATTGTTTGGTCTGCTTCAGTGTCGGCATTCGAACACTTTGTATTGTTAAGAATCTCATAATAATTCAACGTGACCACGAGTCCACGACTGTAAATATTAATAAAATACAAATAATGATAGATGCGCACTCATGAAATGTATCACGAGATCTGTATAAACTATTACCGCACTGAGAAGATGAACGTTCAAATATAAATAATTCAATATTTTAATGGACTCGTACATAGAAATATTAATATCGGTAAAGTAAATGTTATGACTTACAAAGGCAACTGTTTCAATGTTTTAATCTAATTATATTATTAAAATATATAACCGCTCATACATATRTGTTATTATTTAACGTTTAAGTTGGTTAAAATGTGTTTCTATACATTCACATTCCAGACGTATAAAATGTGGATTRTATTTACTGAATAAATACTATAATAAACAAATATGAGTTGAAACAAAAATATAACAAAATGTGGATCGAGTATTTAACTGGTCATAGAATTAATAACATGTTTAGAAAAATATTGCRTTTCAAAGAATGAATAATTTGAAAATCTTAAGTGATTTGTGAATATTTCTCCTCCTTCCTCCAAAATAACGTAATGATGTACACACCAAATTTTATGAGTTATAATTTTTATAAATCAGTCTCGTCTGTTTTACAGCGTACTTGAACAACGGAAAGTACAATGTGTTCATGGTGGACTGGGGAAAACTGTCAGCGATTCCATGTTACGCGGCCTCCGTTCACAACCTCAAGCCCGTGGCCAGGTGTATGGCGGTCATGTTGACACATTTGAGAGCCGCTGGCCTGGACGTGGATCAGCTCACGTGCGTTGGCCATAGCTTGGGTGCACACCTGTGTGGCATTATGGCCAATTACCTACCGTTCAGAATGCACCGCATTATAGGTAGTTACCTATATGACCTATATGACGAATGTGAAAGAACGTCTGAAGAGATGTAAAAACGAAACTTTTCCATAAAAAAACAATGTCCGAAAAAAAACATCCTGAAAACATGAAATACATCGTCGCCTTTATAAATTCATCAAATCTTTCTATATATTTCTATATCGAACTGCAATWATATTAGGAGTTATATTARAATATATATTATTATTGTTGAACTACATATTATTACACTWTACTTTTTTAAMAATGTGCCTATATTAAAGTAAGACGAACAGACAAAGWACCATAAGACTTAATAAGCCTAATAAGACTTCTCAACTCATTTCACTGAAATTCAAAATCTATAGTAGCCAGTAGGTAATRAATATATTTTAATTTTTTAAAATACATTTTTGATCAAAAATCAGCCTAGTATTGACGTGCTATTAATATTTTTCATGGGCCTTCGATACTGTTGAAGTTATTTATACGGAACCAARCGTAATASAATAACTATTACGATAGGTAGCTAGAAATGTACAAGACAAATTACTATTTAAGACGTATGCTYACAAAAGTATTATCGAACGTCTGATTTTTGATTTCCATCACATTTTACAGGTGTGGATCCGGCTAAACCGTTGATTCGTAACCGGGCGTCCAGTCGACTGGATTCTGGAGACGCAGACGTCGTGCAGATCATACACGCCACGTCCAGGTACGGCGATCTGAAGCGCATGGGGCACGTGGATTTCTGTCTGAATGGCGGACACGTACAGCCGTTCTGTGCAAACTCTTCCGGTGAGTATACGTAGACGTAGAATGTGGTACTCACAGTCGAGATTAAGTTAWACTCATCGACTTACCTAGAACTGAACCGGGCCGATGTGCTAATATATTATATTCTACTGAACCGTAGCCGGTCGTGTCGAAGTTAATAATACTTAGATAATAATAAAACTATAAAAATAATATCGACTTATACTGGACCAAACCCTTTTCGGGTTAACATTATGTTTAGATGAAATTTGTCAACTCTCTACAGTAGTTATAAATTGTATTGCTACACAACGAACAAACACGACTTAGACTGTGATTATCATTGCCAATTATTATTATTATTATTATTATCAAGTGATTTTATTACCGTTGCACTAGCATTAACATTGGGGAGAATTTAAAAATTATATATTTTTTATACGCTAGTGATATTATAAATACTTTTTTGTGAAAATGCAAGGTAATATTATAAACCAGACACGTGAGTAAATTAAGTACCTACCTACCTACCTACCTACCTACTGATAAATGTTTTTTTTTTTACATTTTTTTTGTAATACACTAATGTATAATATTGATAAAGTTCCTGATTAAAAATAATCATTATAAAATATAACGTACTGATATTAATAGGGAGAATGTAATAATTTGTTGAYTATATATCGGGATTTTTAATTGCTGARAATAAGGCCCTGGACTTACCTGGCTTATCAATACCACCACTGCACCTGTCAGTTCGCGAACGGATCGGGTTATGCCACAGATTAACGATACTCGTGGGGGGYGGGGGTGATTTTTTTTATCACGTATAGTAATTTTAAGGGAATTGCGTAACGTGTGGAAAATCATCCCCGAAGGGAATTCATTAATGTAGCCCTTAACATGCATCACGAGTACCGAGAATTTTTCCCCCACTTTTCAGGAGCGATCTAATAAAATATGTCGTCTCTATTCATGTACAGATACTGAACTGTGCGGTCACACGAGGAGTGTCTGTTACTTGGCAGAGAGTTTGGACCCGGATGTCGCTCGAAAAGCGGTACCGTGCACCAGAAGATGTTTGCAGAGCGGCGAAGGAGGTTCAAGCTATTCGGTCGTCAACTCTTTGGGACAGACGCCATACGTCATTCTGGGACAATACACACCAGACGAGTAAGTGTTCCGTCTCATTTCTGAACGTATTTACTGCTGGCCCAAGAGGGAGTATAAATTGTTCTGTTGACAACTGCAAATTATATTATCTTGCGCAATTTTGTTTTAAACGATATCGGGATTAAAACTATAACGAACGCAACGTATTCAACAGACATTATCAGAAGTAGTAATGGTTTTTGTGTGTATTTATTTTGTGTCACGCATTACATATATTTATTTCAGAGCCGCACTGAGAATTTAATAAAAAAAAGCGGATAAGTGGATGTCGCTCTGCTGTAGAGTAGTTTACAAGTGGGTTACTATAATGTATGGTATTAAATTTGAATTCAATGATATAATATTATTATATACAAAAAACGATTCTGAGCGGAGACGGTTTTTTAGTCTTAAGATATTTTATTGTTTTATAGGTACTATATTAATTATATAACTATTATTTCAAAAAAAAAAAATGTAGGTACTTATAAAATAAATTCCAAATTAATCAAATCAAATTCATTATACACCTGACTCACTCATTTGAAATATTTTGAAAATTTAATCAAGTATGGAAAATGCCAGTATAAATATTCAGTGAAAATTTCTTGTTCTTATGGTAATTTTTTTTAGAGTTAAAAATTCGATTTTCTCAAAAATTTATTTTACGCAAAAATTCATTCATTTTTATTTATTTTTCTGGTGCTTTTGAAAACTACTAAAAAGTTTAAAACATGACCTCCCTAATGCACCAACTAGATTCACTTTCTAACCAGAAAAGCTAATTATGTTGAAAATCGAAGCATTATTTCGACAACTTATCGTGTACACAGACATAAAAAAAAACACACACACACATAGGTACATCGTTGTAAAATCAATATATTCATCGCTCCGCCCAGAATCTAAAATGTTAATAWTAAATATCTACATGGTATTACCATGCATGGAAATACCATTTTCTTCAATAATGCGGTTAGTCAAAATCTGATTACCCTTTCTATACAATCTTAAACAACTCAAAAATTCTGTTTCAATTTCGGTTTTAAAAAATATCTCAATGATTCAAATATATAGTTATTAAGTATTAAGTACATTTAAAAATTCCCAAAAATCTGATTTTAAAYTACCACGTTATTGAAGAGAAAGGAATGAATTTATCAGAAAAAAGCTGTTTTGTGAATCTTCTTGAATACTTTTAGACTACTCGAATGTTATTTAATTAACTTTCTTCAGAAACAATTTTTTTTTTCGACATCTTGTTCAAATTATATTCATACGATAGGTATATTTCTGTTCATAATACTGGTTATCGATTGATAAGAAATAAGAAAAATTGATGTATGCTGATTTTTTTTTGTTTTGCTACAAGAAAGTTACAAAGTTAACTAATTTTCATTGGAAAGTAAAGTAATWTCATTTCGAATTTGAGTGACGAGTAAACTAAATTAATTAGGCRCTTTTTGAAAGTATCTAACTTCTCAACACTGAAAATGAACATATTGCAGACTATTTTTTTCTCCTTCACAATAATATGCATGCTTAAAAGTGTGGTATTRCAGGGTGAACGGCGTGTACTGTGTGACCAACTCGGACGCGCCTTACTGCTCTAAAACCAGCGTCAAGGGTAGTCCGTACTGCTGTCCGCCGCCGCCTGCAAATGGCGTTAGCGTCGATCACTTGATGCGACTGCCCGAAGATGAATAATACCACAGCGGCAACAACAACTGAAATCACGGACGAGAGGAGGAAAAATAAAAACCAAAAACACCAACAAATCATAAGACGTCTTAATTTTATTGTCTTTACACGAATGTACAAAATATTAAATATTTGTTTTAAATATTACGTAATGTAAGTCACATAAATACACACTTATATATTATATAATATATAACATTATTATGTTTGTGTACTCGTGTGACTATCGTATAAATAATGTTTAATGTTTGAACCTCATTATTATTATATATTACATAAATGGTTTTAATAATAGATTATATTATGCATTCACACAGAGTCTGGATGATGATGAAGCTCTATAAAATTATCTAAAAACATATAGACATTGCGTCATCGTAAGGTGTGTTACATCGTCGCATTATMGCCAAAGTTGCGGTTCGAGGACAAGCGTGGCAGCGATACATATTGATTATCACGAATATCGTTGACTAAAAGCATAGATGGTGTTTTTTTTTTGTATTTCAAAAAAATTTCAAAAAAAACAGTTTCTTGTCCAACGGTTGACCGTCGATATCACCACGCAACGTCGAAGTTAATAAACTATTATATTATTAATACACACTATAAATCATTTTTGATACGAAAATGGATTAAAAAAATAAATCRAGTCGGCCGTGAAAAATACCATCGGTGATCGGTTTGTTAAGGTCTGTCTCAAAAACATTAATCATTTTACATATTGCGCATAAGATATCTCAGCATTCAATACAATAATAATTTTTATTACGCGTTTATTATAATAATATAATATTAAATATTTACAGCAAAAAATAAAACGAAACGTCATAAAATARGAACACTTCTTGCCACTAAGGAATAAGAACTAAGAATAATGATACAAAATTAGCGTAAAAGTATCAGATGGATATTCTATTTCACTGCGACTGTTATATACGACAAATGTTTAAATAAAATAATAACATGGTAACGATAAAAGAAAAACACGATTGCAACAAACAGTAAARCAGTAAGTTCTAAATGATAACAAAAATAAATAATTTGGAAATGGTTATAATATTAAAACAGATGGGTGGTACTACACTGTTTCCAGAACGTGTTTKTAAAKAAAATAATAATAATAATAAAATCGTCGAAGATCAYATGATGATATCAATAAGACMCTTTTCGAGACGAAACGAGAAACTTGTTTTAAAATGTAGAAAAAATTCCACGTGACAGACTACGCGACGACGTGTMRAACAAAKTTATCGTGAGGTTTCGTTTCAGCACTTTGTGTTTCGTGATTTTTATGTTTCGTCGAAAGCATGACGCTTAGGTATATTGTAATAAGATGAATATTCACCTGTTTGATCTATGCCTATAATATTTTTATGTCGTAATGTTTTTTTCGCCATTTCATTGACCAAATCAACCTGTTGCCGATATATTCGAAAAACYACGGTCGAGTTTGAACATCACTATTCATACCGAATACCCTTTTTCACTTTTTTTTATCAGCCCTTGATTTTTTCGATGGATGATGTTGAAAAAAAATATCTTAGACTAGTGTTATATTCGTCATGTTTAGATTGTCACGCCCACGACTAAATAGAATATTATAATAATATCATCATAGTGGTTATGGAAATGAAAATAAATGAATAATATATTAATTCTATTGATTTTTGTACAATGTTATTTATATATTATAAAACTGCACTAAATATTGTCTTGTACTAGGCTTCAAAGTATCTACAATCTTGTTACTGATCTGATACAAAGAATACGCGTTTGAAATAAAAATCAATACAACCACTAAAAAAAAAATAAATAAACAAATATCGTTATGAAGATTTAAATATCTAAAGTTAAATCCTGCAAATAATGTATTTTTTTCTTATTTATTAAATGTAATAAATTAGGCAATGGGAAAAATGTATTGTCATTTGACTATACCCATATACTTTTGAAAACCTCCAGTGATCCAATCAACATGCGGTCTGAATTCATCCGGTTTACCGAGGCTTTACTGCATTAATATTATAATAAAAATAAAAATAAAATTATTATGTAGATWATGCGAGTAAAATAAAATTTAACTTTATAATAATAATATTTACATTACACAATATTATAGAATTACATTATGTAAAAATCGTTATAATAATATAATATAATTGAATACATAAGAATTTAATCATACATATATAAATATGTATACACTATAATATCATAATTTAATATAATATGGTATATACTATATTATGTACACGAATAAATAAATTTATATATTATAGGTATATGCAGAAAAAAATATAGAAAATTACGTCTTAAATACAAAACCGCACACTGCACTCATCCTTGTTATCGTCAAATATTATCATCATAATATTATTTAACCAATTATATTATTACAGTATAATAAAATCATCACGGCCAATGTGTGGTGGCCATCATCACGCCACTCTGGACCGTCGCCGTAACACGTTTCTCAGTTTGTTGAGATTGTCCAACGTGGTCCGGTCGTCAGGCGATATCCTTAGCGCATTTTGGTAGCTGGATAATGCCTCGCGGTGTTTGCCGTTCAGGTGTAGCATGGCTCCCAGGTTGCTGTGACTGCTCGCGTCCTGTGAACACAACAGACGCGAGATGGTTACCAAGTGGTACGTCATACGTTAGATATGTGGTGGGGGGGGCTATGGTGGAGGAGGAGGATGAGGATCATCGGTCTCGTTTGGACTTAGAGTGGTGAAATCGATGGTTAAAATAACAATAAAATGCCATGCGATGGTATATAGCTCTATAATATTATTTTTCAGGATAAATGAGTAAAAAAAAGCTTGTTGCAATAATCAGTTAAGTTGATTTTTGAAAATTTTCAAGATTATCAAAGAATAGTTTTAAAGCTTTACATATTTGGAATTAGTAAATAGGATCCCGGGAAAAAAAACAGATTATAGGTAAGTTGGGTCYGGGAAAAAAAAATTGTAGGTCCCTCCGTTCCGGCTACTAATTAAAAAAAAAAAATTAGTGTTATAATTTTTTTTTTTTAGGGGGGTAGGGGGTTGAGGCTTCGACAACAAGGGCCATTAGCCTGTGGAACTGTGGGGGAGGGAACTGTAGGTTTGGTACTTGTGGATGGTTTTTTTGGCAGAATTTCGAATGGGCACCCTTAGGTTTAGCCATGCCCGGGTGTGGGGCGGTAGCYTTTCTTTCCAGACAGCATGAACTGCCCGGAAGGTTATGCAGCCCATGAAGGGATTCAAACCTTTGACGATGCACATCGCAACCGATGCCTTAATCCACCCGGCCACTATACACCCCTTTCATTATTATTATTATTATTATTATTATGTATAATATAAAAATAAAATTTCAGTCTATTATAGTATTAGGTATATTGATTAAAAATATCACAAATACAAATTAGTAAAAACAATAAATTTAATAAGTAATATTTTTAATTAATATAAATTAAGTACATTATAGTATAATCTAATGAAATGTAGCTTTTAGTTCTTTAATTAGTAGCTGGGACTTACAATATTTATTTCGCGGGACCCACCTTACCTACTACCTGTTTTTTCCCAAGACTCAATTTACCGCTTTCAAAATGTGCCAAGCTTATCTCGGACCCAATTTACCTAGCCCYGAAATTTTAACTCAAAATTAAYAACCATACTTTTAACGTATTAAATTCGACAAAAGATACTGGACATAACATGTACAAATCTATTTCTTTGTTTGATTCCGAGTAAAGAAGCATTTTTGAAATAAACGGACTTGTTGGTTTTTTTCCATCAATTGCATCTATTTTCATATTATGTACTCAACTAGGGTTTCGGTTTTTGTGAAAATATTAAGATTTGAAGTCATTGTGTATTTTTCTATTCCGTATAATTTTACCCTAAAGTCACTTGAATACAASATACTCCAAAAACTTCCTAGAATTATTCTATAATTGCTTGATTCTGGTTTTAAAGATATGTAATTGAGAGAGCCTTCATTGAGAAAATTATTTAAAATTAGAAGTARGGGTTTCAAGCACATTATGTTACTACACATTGAAAATATCAACAAAATAATGAAGGAAAAGGAAACATTTTTTTTTTATCGTGTACCATGTTTATCAAAATTAAAAAAATTAAATTAAATATGAAAAGCATTAAAGTGTTGGCCCGGCCAACTTGGCCGAGCGTAATATATTTTGTATAGCATATACAAAACTTTTACAAGAATCGCTTGTACAGTAGTCGTATCTTCAAAAAAGGCACTTTGATTGTGTGGCTCTGTGGTTATCTATGTCGGTAAATGTCGATTGTGCCGAAAATAAAAATAAAATATATCATTATTAAATGGTCACAGGCACATTAGCGCTTTACAAAGCTTAAGCCATAGGTTACACGCAATAGCTATTGTCACTTTTATGTAGCTTTGCTATTTTTGCCTTTTTCCAGTAGATTTATTACAGCATTAAAAACACGGTATACGAACGTTATATAGTAGTAACCAACAACGCAGGAATTATTATGAACAATTTACATTTTTTAAATATAATTATAGTAAATGTTTRTAAGAATGATCATATATAATATAGTCAAGAAAAATACGTAATATTATGTAAAACATCAGATAGGTATCTGAATTCTGGTGGCATACCGTAAGTGTTGGAAAACTATTTTAACAAAATTTCTCAAAAAAATCTGTCCATTTGTGCTGTTTGTTTTTGTATAAAATATTTCATCGCAAGTTTACACGCTCAAATATTATAAGATAAAACAAACTTTCGTAAAGATTCTTTGCTATCGTGTAGAATGCAAAATCAAATTAATTAAAGTGCATTTTTTTGTTTACTGCATTGTGAACGCGTTATTGGCTGAATATTGGTACTTGTACCATAATATTGGACCCTTTTATTTTATAAAATCGATCGTCGGCGATCTACGGAATATATAATATTGTAATTAACTTATTTTTTGAAGATTAGCTAAACGTTCCGAAAAAATTCAAAATATTTAGGTGTTGAAAGTATACACACTTCAATATCGCGATAAWATATATAAATGRGATGGTTTTTCGAATATGCGTGTGCGCCGCCGCCAATACCCATCGCAGTTTTTGGGTATCCATTTTCAAAATGTGCGCGAACCATAAAGATTGTGGTCGATGGACCGGACAGTGAGCGAACGCGTAGTGAGTCGACTACGAAACCGACAAATAAATCGTCGGTTAATAATTGGAAAACGACTAAATAAACAATAGTTAGTATAAAATCGATGGCAATAAAAGTTGCAGGTGAAAAAAAGTAAAAAAAAAAACGACGGTTTCCCTCTGTATACCTATACGTTATTCGATGTTGCGAGTATAAGTACCTATTTTATCGCACGTGTGTGTTAAAGCGACGCTATAACGGCCACACAGAGATGCAATCGYGATGATAGGGCTGTGTTATTACCACACTAGTGCAGTGTACGTGTTCTTATCAATATTCTAAACGTTGTTTTCACAGTAACTGCCAGTAGCAGTATAATCGACGGGGACGGGTCGAGGGGTTCGTGATCTTTTCGAGCTCGCCAATAATTATTGTTGTTCGTGGCCGTTCGTACGATACTATCATCCGTAGACACAAATAGGGGGGTGGTTAAGGGGGAATTAGCACCTACGATTTCAAAAATTAGCACCCTCAAATAATGTTCGTGTTTATGTATATCAAGAACTTCTTCTTCTTAAAAAAAAAARCTAAAATGAGAAAATACATAGTACCCTTGATTTWAWAAAAAATTTAAATTACGCCTGTCTGAAAACGACGAATGCCGCAAAAATATTACAATAATATAACGGCGAGCGAAAAAMCTCTCCTAAAGGACACCTCTAAATAGCCGGAAACAAGGTGGACGTTTTCTTGGGAACCAATTACAAATTATTTTCTACACAGTGCACTGAACCCTCTGAATAGCGTACGCCTTCGAATAGCGCAAAAAAAATAAAAATCAACGACCTAGAGTGTCCGGAGTTTAGAGGTTTCACTCTGAACATTTATTGTATCGTGAAGTAATATTTTTCATTATATATATTTATATTACTTTCATGTACCAACGGGATGATCCGATTATATAAATCCACCGTATATTGTTATATATATATATATATATATATATGAATTATATTATGTTTGACGTATTTATGTAGGTACGTATAAAATAATATATTCAAGTCAATCAATTTTTGCGGGGAAAAATGACAAATATCACAATATATATATATATAGGTACTTACTAGTCATATATATTTTAGGACGGTAAAACTTTCCAAAAAAAAAAAAAATAATAATAATAATAACAATTGATATTATATTATGTTGTAACGATTTTCCGGTCGAACGACAACTCATATATCGTGTCAGCTTATTCGGTGCAAAGGACGTATAACTCCATAATATAAAATACATATTAAAAATTATTACATGCGCAGACTGACGTTATATTTGTCAATAATAATATTTCAACGATTATATTCTTACGAGAATTGCATATCAAACTATACGCAATAGTCGTAACTCCGAAAAATAGTACATACAAAACGGTGGCATCTCCTTAATGGCTATAAATAGCTCGCGTATCTCCATAAAATGTATTCTTTACGATAACATTATTGGAAAAATCGCATYTTTCGCAAAATAAATATATTATAAACGAACAAGAGGCAATACAGTCTAGCTTACACAAAATGGACGAATTTAGTACTAAATTATTATAAAATTATTTTTACGTCGAAAAATAATCAGTTTTGGGTTCGAGACTATGGATTGAGAGTATAATAAAATTTTACTTTTTATTTTGGTGCATACAATTTGGTTAGTCGGAAATACATCATTTGCTGAATAGTTATAGTCGGCGATATTATGTTTAGTGACTTTGTATTAAACTCTCGAGCAGATAAGGTCTATTTTGATTTAGTAGATAAATGCATTCGGAGACGTATCGRCCAGAACGGAGCACTATGCACATTCAAACATTTTCAACGGGGTGATTGCTATTTGCCTATTTTCTGACCATTGATGCACTTCAATAAAAAAAACACTGTAAAATCCATGACGGATTTCATCGTTTTCGTTTTAGTTATTTATAATATTATATGCGTCGATAATTTAAGAAAAGTCGCGAAGTACAGTAGTAGTGGTGTCGAGTGTATCTGCGCTAATCGAGGAGATAGCTGCAAAGTAATGAATATGTTAAATTAACCTAACCCAACCCAAGGTGACCAAACAATTGATTTKAAAACAACATTAGAGTTTTATTACATTTTCATAATTTTGGGTTATTTTTTAAAAACACTATGAAATTTTTACTTTTAACTACTAAAATATAAATTGGAACTTATTCATTACCAGAAATCATCCTCAAAGTTATAGATGTTCTTTACTTTCGATCCGCTAAACACTTTAAAGACATATTTTAAAATTCTATCTGCAATATTAAAATGTTATTATTATTCGTTAAAGTGTACAACTGTCGCCTATTACAGTGAGTTATTAGGGTGGCTGAAATGGCAATGGTATGCCAATGAAATATACATATATATTATATATATATATGTATATCATATTTTACAATTATTTACACGCACTGTATACAGTAAGGAGCAGTGTATGCGTTTAAAAATTATAATCATAGGCGGCGACGAT